GCTTCCAGATAATTGACAGTCTGGTGGAATCATCTCATCTATTCATGGTTTCAGGTCTTTTTTCAATCTCTATGGCTTCTCTGATAATTCTGTAGCTGTACAAAACTCATACCACCTTTTGGAAATGATCAAAGTTCTACACGTGGAACAAAAAGATCTGCTTGTAAGTTTCGACGTGGTTTCACTATTCACTCAAGTTCCGATAAAAGAACCCCTAGAAATCATCAAAAATAAATATCAACCACTCAACCACCTCATGGAACTAGCAGAACACTGCTTAACCAACACACATTTCTTATACAAAGGACAAAGATACAAGCAAATTGAAGGAGCCCGTATGGGATCACCATTGTCACCCGTCATTGCAAATCCAAAGCCCTAGCCAATGTCACCCACAAACCCAAACTATGGTTAAGATACATCGATGACATTTTTGTTATTTGGCCCCATGGAAAATAAAACCTAAACAATTTCTTAACACACCTAAACAGCACACAACCCAAAATCAAATTCACCATGGAAACGGAAACAAATAAACAACTACCATTTCTAGTTGTACTAATCTACAAAAAAATAGATGGCACACTAGGACACACCATATACCAGAAGAAAACACACACCAACCAATACCTCAACGCCCAATTACACCACCACCCAGCACAGATAAACTCCATAGCCAAAACACTAATCGCCAGAACCAAACGCCTGGCAGACAAGACATACATAAAGACTGAACTATGCACCCTGACTAAAGTACTGACAGCCAACGGCTTCAGAGAAGCCATAGAGATTGAAAAAAGACCTGAAAGCATGAATAGAAGAGATGACTCCACCAGACTGTCAATTATCTGGAAGCCTGTACTCACAAACAAAAGAATCTCCACACCACAATCCAAGCAAACACCTCGAGCTCAAACACACCCCAACCAAGCACCCAGATGAAACCTAGCTTCCTAATAAATGATAGCCTTCCGTAAAATGCTTAGAGAGGGCTATAAACACTATGAAGTGGTATATAATTTTAAGTGCTATTGCTATTCGTAACAGGAGATGGCTCCTTGCTTGTTAGCTGTTGACTTTTAGCTCTTTCATGAGCTTGGATATAATTGTATATCCAATATACAATTTTTTTCCCCATAATGGTTAATTATATTTTGGAGATTCTCTCTATTCTTTCTATAGGGATATCATATTGGAACATAGAATGTAGGGCTAAATGTAAAATAAAATGTGCTGGTATTTAAAACAGAAGATGAAGAAAAAAAGATTAAAAGTAAACTATTGGGGGAACTCTTTATAGCAATTGTTGCCTCACTGCCATCTTGGCTCTTCCTAAAATGTTATGACATGTAATTTATAGTAATCTGTTCTGGCATGTTTGTAATAGGAAGAAAAATAACTTATTTATATAAATATTGAGAATGGGCATTGTTGGGATGGAAAAGGAATGAAAGGCATTAAACACATATTGTTGCATGCATAGTGCTTTGTATAAAATATATGTGAAGAAATAACACAAGAGTTTTTGATACATTGGCCATGCAGAAATTGCTGTTAAGAATTCCAAAATAAATCAAGGGCAAAAGGTGCAGGTGGCTGATGGAAAATTCAACTTTTAGAATTTTTTTCTGTCATAAATCATTTTTCAAAATTATTGGGCTTTACAGCATTTTCACTAAATACACCACCTCTTTTTTATATCTTTTGGTAAAGTAAGCAAACAATCTTAGCAGCAGCATTCACCCATGACTTTAAGTAGTCAGATGTCAAATGTATTGGAAAATGTTTATTCATGGTTCTAACCAAGCTATGAAGCAGTTGGGAAAAGAGTGGGAATCTTGGCAATTGCATTGCAGCTTCCCAGAGAGGACAACATATTTCAGACAGTTACCCAAAATAAGATTGCTCTGAACTATATGGAAGAAAGAAAAAAAAGGTTCAGGATAACCACACTGTTTTCTCCAAGGTTATCATTAGCTACAGATCATCTTCTCAACAATCTTTCCTCCCTTCAAAAGAAGAAATTGACGTTGGGTCTAAGGATGGCTTCTTGAGGAAGAGGTGATGCACTGCCCCTTTCCCTTCCCTCGGAAATATTGATACTATGGCATGGACTCAACTGTGGGTCCCCTCCTTGACTGCTTTTAAGATCCAGAAGGAGCCTATATTTAGTAAATAACTTGCTGAGTTAACAGCGCAGATAACCTTGTCCACTTCCTTTGGAGTTATTATTATCCTACCTGCATTCTGATGTAGACTTGTAAAATATACTACTTACTACCTTTAAGAAACACCATTGGGGTACTAACATTCTTAACTAAAAATACTAGTTTTCACTTTTTCATCTTTGAAATATAAAGCTTAAAGAAAAATTTTGCATCTGGAAAGGTTTGCTCAAGCAGAAATGAACCTTCATTTAGGTGGATGTTTAAAACACTCTTTTTTAATTTGGTGTTTCTATGGTTACAGTTGTACAGCAACTGTTCCTTTCTTGGAGTTATTTTTTTCCAAGTCATATAAAATAGCTGAAAAAATATTTGGTAAGTTGTAGAGGATGGAGGGGAAAAAATAAATAACTTGGTAATTAAAATGCTTTATTGATGTTTTCTTTCTTTAGTTAAGCCTTGAGTGGGATGGCTGATCAGCAAAGCCAGGAATCTATAATTATAATTTGAACTGTTATTTTTAGTATGCAAGTTTTCAGTATAGCTGGTTCAGTTGGGAAACTTTTTATTTCCATTAGTCATTGAATTGGGCATGTTGAGCATGACTGACTGTTTTCTCTCTCTCTCTCTCTCTTTCTCTGTGTCTCTCCCTCCCTCCCCTCCCCACCCCTGCTGTAGATTAATAAATCAATTATCTTTCTGGTATACATGACTATTGAAAGTATTGCAAGGGAACATTTTCCAGATTTCACCAAAACAAATTTCTTGCGTCTACAGCATATGTCAGCAACATTATGTATATAGCTCCCTCTGCATCCCTAGACATTTTTATGACTCCAAAAGATAGCTGCCCCATTTTAGCTTTTTTTAAAAAGAATGAAGGAAATGAGGAAACCCAAGTAGAGCTTGTTCAACCCTTCCATGATTCATTCAGCCATTTATCCAAGACTGTGGTCCAATTATGCCAAATCCACGTTCATCCTTTATACGTATCCTAGATGCCTAGACAGACAGGAGAGTTCATAATGAGTATTAAATGTAAATTTTAAGGGTGAGGGAGGAAGAAACTTATCTGGCCTTGCCAATACATTCTCCTCAGTGCTTCTCTTGATGGTAGAAAAAAAATCATTGTCTGGAAACAATGGGCAGGGGCACAGCTGGAAAATGTTGCAAACTAGAAAATCTGCAAATACGGACAACATAGAAATAGACAAATACTATATTATTAATATAATTGTTTATTAAACAACAATGCATATTATTCAAAATGTGTGCAAAAATAGGATTTGTGCCTGGTACATAAATGATTACAGGAGTCTACAACTTACAACCACAATTAAGATCAGAAACTTTGTTGTTAAGTGGTGTGGTCATTAAACAAAGCTTCACATGACCATACCCAATTTAGATATTTTTTTGCTATGGTTATTAAGCAAATTACCAATGTCATTTAGCAGGACATCACATGATTGTGATTTAAAACCTCACTTGGCTTCTAAGAAGCTAAGTCAATGGGAAAGCTGGCAAGGAAGGTTGCCAATCATGATCATGATCTGATGTTTCACTTAATGACCATAATGATTTGCTTAACAATCATGATTGTAAAATGTCATAAAATCAGGTTATGTGATGCCTTCTTAATTACCATACCACTCAAAATTTTCTGATCTCAAGTGCGATTGAAGTAGAGGACCTATATTGTAACCTTAAACAAAAGGTAAAGCGACAAAGGTGATACCAAAAGAGAAAAAAACTTGTGGGAGGATGGTTTTGTTAAGTATACTTAAGGAGGAAGCTGCCAGAAGTCTGACTGAAAGGACAGATGTGGTAATAACCAGCACCTGCAGCTTTATGCTAGACAGGGTACATGTAGAACAGTTTTCATCAGTCACTGAGAAATCTATGAAATGAAAAATATTGTTCATTGTGCATTTTTTCATTTAAAGAATGCATATCAGAAAGTTATAGAACATTTTATTTAAATATGGAGCTGAATATTAGTTGGTGAATGTGATAATAGAGGTAGAATGTTTCTACTAGCACAATAAAATGAGTGAAAAGATAGAAACAAAGCACAGCCATTCATTGCTTCTGTTTTATCCAAGTAAAAGTTGGGTAAGTCACAAGGAACATAAACATACATTAAATTCAGAAGAAATTGGGTACTTAAGATACAATAAAACAAAAGGATATGGTCAAGAATTAATGAATGCTGATTGAATATGGACTGAACAGTAGAAAAGGAATATGCTGACTTAATTTGGTTACATAGAATAAATGAGAATCAATTTGGAAAACAAATATAGGAAGTAATGATGAATGGATTAAGAGGAAAGAGAAGATGAAAAAACTCATGGTCAGATAGAGTTGACGAGATATTCAGAAAGAAAAAACCAAAGTTAAAAAAATCAAAAGGAAATGTATAAAGCAATTATTGGGACACGGTAAACCACAATTGTTTCTAAAAAGGAAAAACATAAAGCGGTATAGTGAATTGTGTTGGCATAAACTAGATTTAGCTCAGTGGTGGGATTCAAAAAATTTTACTACTGGTTCTGTGGGCATGGCTTGGTGGGTGTGTCAGGGGAAGGATACTGTAAAATCTCTAGTCAGAGGTGCTATTTGCTGGTTCTCTGAACTATTCAAAATTTCCACTACCGGTTCTCCAGAACTGGTCAGAACCTGCTGAATACCACTTCTGATTTAGCTGCATTTCTTTTTCCTGTCCTTAATTTTGTTTACCTTAAAAAGGCATAGCATTATTGGTATGTATGGCCTTTAATTCATTTAGTCAAAAAAAAATCTGAGCATAACATTATTTTTTATTTCCTCTAGTGACAGTCCTAGCTATTTTTCATGAGCTTCATGTTGATACAGATCTTTATACTCTCCTTTTTGGAGAAAGTGTCCTTAATGATGCTGTGGCTATAGTACTCACACAGTAAGTACAAAGTCTCTTTTCTTAAAGTAAGTCAATAATGGATGTTCCTTAGTGTTTGTAAATTATGATTTTCTTATACATATAACAAGATAAATTTGAACTGTTGCTAAATAATACTCATATGTTAACATTCACTGTTTGGTACCTTTAAAGTAATATATTTATTTTAATTCTTATTACCTCATTAAACATTTATCTAAGATAAATGAAGCTGCAATGATTCATTGTTGACTGTGCAGTCAAATTTCCATGAAATACCTACAAAATAGGAGGCATTGTTTTATTTTAAATCATAAGAAGGTGCATGCAGATATGCCTTTAGACCATTAAACTAATCGTGAAATCTGCTAGTGAAATCTACCCCACAATGGGGAATCAATGGATCTGAATGAATAGGACTAAATAAACTATAATTTCTCCTCTGTTGAATTTTATCTTGTATACTTTGAAGAACATTCACACATTTGTTTAAAAATTACTAAACTTTTATACACAAGCTTTTATTCCTCATAAACATTATACCTGAGTTCACAGAATGGACAAAGTATAATATGGTTTATTGGGCTTTGCTTTTGTGTATTATCTGTCAATTTTTATTTTGTGTAAGCAAACTATGGGTAGAAGTCATGCATAATCTCAGACATAAAGTGTATCTGTGTATGCTTGCACATGTTTTTTAGAATATTTAAATAACAATGTTGCAAGATTGCAACAGAAAATAAAACTTTCATGTTCACAGTTTTATTTGGTCTATGAGTTAACAAAAAATATCTTGTTCTTATGGAATGTTTTTTTCCTTTCCAGAGGACAGAGGGAAGGGATGGTGGCTGTGTTAACATAATCTCACAGATTACCCAATTATATACTTGTATCACATTGTATCATGTTTTACATAAAATTATGAACGTATATAATTCACATCATTGTTGTGGAGATATCAGTTACACTTATTTTGAAATCATCATAGCGTCTACCAGGCATCTATGCTTCTATATGTAGGTCATGTGAAGTATTGTTTCCCCAGAGGATTTTTATTGATAAAAGAACAGAAAGATATGGGATCCCATATTTTTATATTTTCTCTTTATTATGGTTTTTAAAAGAACAGTGGGCAGTACAATTTGTTATAAATGATGGACAATGTGGATTTCAATTCCAGCCTCCAAATAATTCTAAACATAGCAATATGCACTATTTTTCAATGAGTAACTTTGTAAGAGCGAAATTAAAATAAGAGAGTGTTCCGGACCTTATGCATATGTGACTGTGCCCCTTGGTGTCAATAGAATAGAATTCTTTATTGACCAAGTGTGATTGGACATACAAGGAATTTGTCTTGGTGCAAATGCTCTCTGTGTACATAAAAGAAAAGATACATTCACCAAGAGTCAAGAACCATAGGTACAGCACTTAATGATAGTCATAGGGTACAATAAGCAATCAAATCATACTAGGAAACAGTCAATATAAATCATAAGGATACAAGCGACAAAGTTACAGTCATACAGTCACAAGTGGGAAGGGATGGGTGATAAGGAGTGATGAGAAGATTAACAATAATTACTATTACTATTAAGTGCAGACTTTGTAATAGTTGAATGGTGTTGAGGGAATTATTTGTTTAGCAGAGTGATGGCTTTCAGGAAAAATTGTTCTTATGCCTAGTTGTTCTGGTTTGCTGTGCTCTATAGCGTCGTTTTGAGCTTCTATGATCAGAGGTTTCTATTCACATTGTTTAAGTGTGAATCAAGATGGCTTTCAGTACAGTTTTATAATTCATCTGACCTTTAGCTCTCTCTATATTGTCATCTAAATAATATTGTCTTAGTTGAGAAAAGTGATTCTATACATTCTTTTAATATATTAAGTTACAGATAGACCACATTATATAATATTACATAAATTTCACTTGTTTCAACATCCAATTACATTTCCATGGTCTTTTTAGGTAACTATAAGACTATTTTGAAAAAAATAAGTTGACAAAACTGAAAATAGCATTTAAATGTTTCTATAAATGTAACTCAGAATTCACATATGCATTCAGATGTCAAACTCAGATTTGTAGATGTCCTCTAACTAGGTAAGCCATCAATATAATTAATACATTTAAACACTTTAAAAGCTTTTGATTTCTTAAGAAAGGTCAGAATAAAATGTCATTCTCTAATGCCGCAGTTCAAGGGCCATAAAAAATATGACCACTGCAATAGAAGGTATAAAATACTCCTAAATGTAGTTTGAAACTTCTGTAAAAAATGGTCTGTCACACATTTAGAATATTTTATATCCCAGTATTCTTTTTTTTTCAACATTTCTCATAAACATTCAAATTAATAATACTTCTAGATTAATTCTTTTGCCACATGTACCAATCTATGAATTCCCAATTTCATGCACACTATAATAATTCAGATTTTCTAACATACATTTTTGCTCTTCCATTCATAGTAAAACCTATATCTTCACTTCCATGCAACTTGGTTCCATAAGACCAGATCCCATTCATTCAGGATTGATATAATCGTTACAGTTGTTGTGACCCACTGGCGGAGCTGGCAGCAGAGTCGGACAGTAGTAAGGAGGTTTGGGAAGAAGCTTGGCCAATCTTGGAAGCTGAGGAAGGCTCAGACGAGGGAACTGCATCAGAGGCACAGATGGGGCCTGGGCAGGCTGGAAGTCAGCAGCAGCTTTTGGACTCAAGATAGCAGTAAGGCTGGGGAGCAGCTGGAACAGGTTCTCAACCTGCACATGCGCAGAGCTGCTAAAAGAAAGGAGCAGTTAAGAACTCAGGGTCAACGTGGGAGCAAGGCCACAAGTGGATGATGAATGGCCCCTACCATCAGGATTAAGAGGAGCAAAAGGGAAGGGAGCTTTTGCAGGAAAAAAACTCACTCATTCGGTCATTTGTTTGTTCCAGCCTTGTGGAGATTTGTCTGTAAACCCAGCCTTCCTTGCCAACAGTGAGTGTGGAACTATTTACCAGGCAGCATCCCAGGATTGAGGAAGGTTTGAGATAATTAGTTTACCTTCATGAGACTATTTGTCGAGCTGTTGGCTGCCTGTGAATGAAAAAATTCACATTATTGTAAATAAAGAGGTTTTTGCCAGGACTCAGAATTGACTGAGTGCTTTTTGGTGAGACCTAAAACAGTTATCTTAGTTGCCAAATATATGGCACCTACATTTTTTGTTCTTTTTCATTACCAGGTATTGATTTTTACTGCTGATCATAGTTTAGGTCAGTTGTAGACAACCTGGTCCCTACCACCCACTAGTCAGCATTCCAGCTTTCATGGTGGGTGGTAGGGGTTTTGTCCCCTACTTTATAAATCACCATTACTGTGGAACCGGTGGGCAGTTTGAGAAAATTTTACTACTAGCAGAGATACAAAAGTGGGTGGTAGGTATAAAAAGGTTGACTACCCCTGGTTTAGGTGAATGAATATTTTTGCTTATTGCTTTTTAATAATATAGAGAAAGATAGTCTAGATTATCAGTCCTAATAATGAGTGCAATGTCCCCTTTAATTCAAAGCATGCTCATACTATTTTACACTATGCAAGGTAATGTTTCTAATTTAGAAATTGCCATCCAAATTGGAAGTGCAGGCTGAGATACATACATTTGTGATTGTTTTATATTTTATTATTATCAGCTTTCTTGAGTGTTATTTTAAGGAAGAATAAGTCTAATATATAAATAAATAGATGTACAATAGATATTTGTACATCTAATATACAAATAATGGAAAAGTGCATGAAGAAAGTGCATGAGAAGCTACTCATATTTTTGTGTGGCCTGGAACCTGGAATTCATTTACATTCACATTTTGCATTTTCGTTATATTGTAATCCTATTACAACAATAAGGCTTTAAGAAAGAAATTGTCTTATAGAATAGGAGATATTCATATATAATTGATTTATATGAACTGAACAACAGACCCTGAATTTCAGCAGTAACTATAGGCAAGGCCATTATATTAATGGTTCTATTGGACATGGGGGTGGGGGAATTGCCTACATAAGAATCAAAAACTAAAGCTTCTACTGGATTCTAAGCTTAAGATAAATAGAAAGGAAATAATGTACGCTGCAAATACAAACCGTTTTGGTATTGCTTTGTCTTGATTTAATGTTAGTCTTATGTAGTTTAGAATTTTGACTACAGATTCTGCAAAAATATTTGAGCTATTTTTGTAATGTTAAGCATCCAGCGTTACTAATAATATAATCATTTCAAAATCATATTCAAATAATGGTCATCTGTACTTCCTGTTCAGTTTGGAAATAATTATCCTTCAAGATTTAAGTTAATAATTTAAATGAAAAAGAAGGAAGAAATGATCAAATTTTCAGCTGAGAAAATTGGGTGTAATAGTTAATAAACTGGAAGACAAATATAAGTTGTGAGATTGAAAAAAGATGGGTGGAGGGACAAATTTAAATTTAAGAAAGAAAAATACAATTTTTCCCTTAAGTAATGGACACCAAATGTAAAAATATGGTATGAGTAATTCTTGGTTACTAATGGTAATTACAGACTAAGTGTGATGAAACTATAGTGTGATGTAGCTACCAAAAAACACAACCAATATCATGAAGTTTTAGACTGCTTCAGTGGAAAAATGTTTTTTAAATCAAAGGAAACAGTCATTTCATTTTATTCTGTTTTGGTCAGTTCCTATTTGAATATTGAGCACTGTTCTGACCATAGTATTTCAACAAATTATCAAAACTGGACCAGCATCATAAAATCAATATAAGATTAGAAACTAAATTTTAGGATGATAAATTCAAAGAGCAGATTAAATGTAGCTCTACATTTAATCTGCTCTTTGAATTTATCATCCTAAAATTTAGGATGATATAATACATGTAGAAATAAGGGGGAAAAAGGAGAACAATCTAAACTACTAGATACTCTTACGGAGTTAGAAAAAACACTAGAAAAAACACCACATAATAAGACAGCAAATACGGAGAGGATAATGATTA